AGCTCGAGTCGAAATTATTATCAATGTATGGTTGGAATGGTAGGAGGAGGCGGTGCGGCGCAATAATATTTCGCATTCCGCAATTTTTTGCCCATCCAAAGGTACCCTCTCTGAGATGATCGTCGAGTCGCCGCGGCTCGCCGGTGGCTCTCCCAGTTCAGCTGTGGGTATTAATTTCACGAGAGAAAGAGAGAAACGAGGGGAGAGAAAGGCGGGGAAGAAGAGAAGCTGCTGGACGAAGAGCAGAGGGGGCAGAACAAAACGACACTGAAGACCATCTATGAGATGAGAAAATAATAATAAAGTGGAAATGAGCGAGCCGGTCCATAAATTGCTCCGCTCCTTGTTAATGGTCTGGGGGCCCGAGGCGACCTCAGCTAAACGCGGCCCGGTCTGACCCGGCTTCAACTGTGCGTTTCTCTTTCACTCTTTCGTGCCTCCTCGCTTTCCCTATCTCACTCCGTTTCAGGTCTCTCTTGGTCTCCGGGCCCGGCCGGAGTCCTCTCAGGATCTGGTCCGACCCGTTCGAGGCGTTCTTTCTCTCTCTTTCTCTTGGAAGGCTCATTTCTGTACTTAATGGACGTCCAGAGATGCTCCCCCTCCATACTAAATCTTTGGATTCTTGAGAGCCAGAAAGAAGGACTAAAAGGGTCCGGAGGACACAAAGGGTACACGTCGATGGTAGGTACAGCCTGTGATTGGCGACCAGGCGTGGCTCTACCGACAGATATCCGCTCCTCTTTAAACGTGCCAGAACCGAACGCACGCTGAATATAAGTTGCGTTTTCAGTGTATTCGGTGTATTTACTTTCGAGATTGCGAGCTTCGCGATAATAAAATATACACACGTAAACAAGTGGCTAAAATTGAGTAATGTTAAAATATATGATTATTTCATTTGATAAAACTAAGTGTTTTTTGTAATACTACATCAAACGAAGAGAAAAAAGAAGGGGAGCGGAGCGGAGAGAGAGACAGAGAGAGAATGCCTTTGACTATATTACTTTATATTAACAATCCAATTAAGTTGATTTGTATCAATTTGCCATTAATTATTCATCTTTACAATTAAATAATATTGGCAACGTATTTAAATGAGTATAAAAAATATTAATTATCAATATACATATATATAAAATATTATATATAAATCTATAATAAATGTTACAGATTTAATTATATTTACTAAAATTTTTATTTAACTTTTGCTTGTGACGTACATAATTTTTTTTAACTTATTGCTTTGTTAATGTTAACGTTTTAATTAAATATTAAACAATATTAATTAACAATATTTTAATTTTCTTGATAAGATGTATAAGTTTACCCTGACAGAAATGTAAGCGAAATACTAGAAGATTCTGTACATCGGTTATAATTTCTAATAATTTAATTATCGAGCTCTAGTAATTATTCAGTGCTTTCTTTGTCCCCAATATGTATCTACATTTCAGTAAAGTGTAAAAGTATATTTTACTCTGAAGTATACATTTTTTTTCGTTCGAATGTTTCATAAATAGTTGGAACTTTATAGTAAAAGAATTACTTTAAAACTTTAATATGCAAGAAAATTGTTACAATTCCGGTATATTTCAATAATTTTTAAACATAACAAAGAAGTGTATGATATAAAGAGGGCAGCAGGCATCAGGAGGCCTACTGCATCCTCTTTTGGTAGCAACTAGAAACTGAAGCGTGGATTCATGATCGATGGAAGCTAAAAAGAAATTATTTTCTTTTCTGAATACCAACAGTAATATTAAATTTAAATATATTTTCTGTAATTAACCGTAGTGTGTAAGAGAAAAACTTCAACTTTAAAGTACGTTATGTGTTATGTTACAATCGTGTACGATAATACAATCTTACTTGCAGTTGATAAAAGTACATTTATATGTATAATATATATAGTACATCTTTCATTTTTCCAATAATACACTAATCTTTTTGTAACTAAATAAGAAAAAAATCGCTTCAGTATCTAATGGTAATTTAAGACTGTTGAATTTTAAATTGTTAGCTAATTTATGATATAAATCTTAAAATTTATAATCTTGATGTTGTGGTAATAAAAAAATTATGCATTTAACTGCATTATAGTTAATTAATAAATTGTTTAAATGTAATATAATTATAATGACGTTCGAAATTTTATATATCGACAGTTGATAATATTAATATTTCTTATAATCATTTTCTGATTCATAGGGTTGCGTTAATAATCATAAAAATTCAACCATGGATTCGTATTCACAGTCAGTCCTTATTTCACACAAGATCGTCTCAAGTATTATCTCAAGATGCTAATACGACTGATAGGTCTTGCCCTTTCTACACCTATAAGAATGATCTTACTTGTGGCTCATCCGAGTGAGTACTTAAATAGACAGGCAAAAATCGCCGTGTCAAAATTGTTTATGGACTCGGGACTACGTAAAGATGACGGTAAAAAATCATAGCAAGATCATACAAAAATTATAATATTTTAGTATGATGATTATACTCAAATGTCTGTGTAAACTCTTCCATTCGGATGAGCCACAAGCAGGCATTCTTATGGCATTTATCTTCGTTGGGTCTAAGCCTACTCCAATCAGACTAACGAATTTTTCAACAGTTGCAAAGTAGCTTTCTCTGCGGAATGCAGCTATAAGAGAGAAGGCAGTAGTTTTGCCGACGAGCTAGGTAGTTCTGAAATCATGCTGATTCGCAACGCCATCACATCCATTTTACCATGGACTATGGGAACTATGTAGCCACATCCGTTTTTTAATTAGTAAAACACTTTGTGGTTTGTAACCGTTCACAATTGATGAGTCGGTATCAATTCATCCTGCATATGACTTTAACTAATATTTTAATGTGTGCCTCATTTTACAATAAAACAAATTTTGTAATAGTTTTTTAGCGGAACATCATTTCTCGAGGGAAAAAAATTAGATAATGGGCGGAAGCAGTTCTAATGTTTTTAATATTAATATTTTTCGAGCTCAACAAATTATAAGCAATTAATAATGATAATTACTGATAATTATTAAGACTCGTATTTCATCTTCGCTATATGTACATAGTATACATGTATATTTTAAAACAGATCAACTTGTATAAGAGGCTCTCCACCATGCCCTCGACGATTTTAATTGGCAATTCTCTACCTCTGTGAAGTTGGCACCTCATGTTTCAAAACATCTTTTTTTTCAGTTTTGAATGCACCGCGAAGAGTTCTAGAGTTCCTTATCAATTTTAAAAATAGTTCTAGCGAATTAACCCAAAAAAGTTAAATTTGAAACTTGGGGATGATAACTTCACAAAATGAAATCTCGAAATCAGCGATAACACTAAAAGTATTGGAAATATTTAATTTTGCCATTAGGATTTCCTTTAGAACTCTTGAGGGGCTACCCAGATATTCGCTAGAAAATTATTTAAATATTCGTTTGTAAAAGATTACTCCATTTACGTCGGATAATGATTATGCATTGTCGTAAAAATAAACCTTGCATTATTTTATAAATGAAATAATGTCTCTCTTTTAGATTTGAATTAAAATGTTGCCCGATAAAAACCAACCAACCTTGTAGAGGCCCTCCACTACCCCCGCCGATTCCAATCGCAAGATTAATTCAAAATCTCGATCCCGGAAGAAAATTAATATTATTTTTTCGGAAATAATTAATTATATATCGTAAACTAATGATCCGAGATAAGCCATTCTTGGCTCGTTAGAAGCGCTGAAATCTTAGCTTTCCAACGAGACCAAGTTCATCTCGCTACGATTTTTCTGTGCAAAGTTATTGACGATTTTATCGACTCGCGATCTTAATCTTGAGACAGCAGCAGCAGACGACGCGGCGTCTGGCGCGGCGTCTCGCGCCGCGATGTTTACTACCGAACATCTGTGCCCCGTATGTTTTATGCCAGTTTTTTGGGGACGTAGTACGCTCGCGTAATACTCGCGTAAAACTCACGTGGCCTTCTCCCATGAATGGGTGCGCGCGCGCCCGATTTTTAAAACGCTATAACTCGGCGAAAAATCGACGTAGCGACACGAGCCGAAAACAAATCTTTTTCGTTTCGCATCCCGCAGCTGTCTATGTTGAGTATGTATGCTCTTATCATGAAACTTACATATGGAATAAAAAGTAAAATGTGAAATACAAATTAAACGTATAACTAGTAAATATGTATAAGATGTTGCTGACAAGCTATGTTAGACTGTATAGCATTTATTAAAGTTTGATTTTTTATCATTAATCGTCACATTTTATTCTTTGATAAGTACATATGTATATAAAAGAGACTTGTGAATCTGCTATATTAGTTTCGTTCTGCTATATTCGGGTCTCTACAAGGTTAGTTTGTTTTTATCGGATAACATTTCAAGTCAAATCCAAGAATGAGGCATTTTAGTTATTTAAAAAATGCAAAGTTTATTTTTACGAGAATGCGATCATAATGATTGCCCGATGGGGAATCTTGGGTAATCTAAACTGAGCAATCTTGTACAAATAAAAATGTTTAAATAATTTTCTAGCGAATAATTTTTTATCGCCAATTATCAGTGTATATTGATATTTTATTTATTGATATTTTATATTGATATTTTCTTATAGATTTACCTTCACAATTTGATTTTTCATTAGTGCATTAATAAAAAATGTTACACAACAGCCACAGCTTCGTGCGTAGCATTATTAATGTTTTACATCGTTAGAGTTATGTATTATTGCATGTATATTATATGTTTAAAAAATAAATGATAAAAATATAAAATCAATTATTGCAAAGTAAAGAAAACCGCCGAGAAAAATTCGGCGGGGGTTGGTGGAGGGCTTTTACAAGTTGGTCCGTTCGCTTGCATAACGAAATATCAATAACTATTTTTATCGACATTCATGCATCCAGCTCGGAACACAACCAAAACCTTGTACATCTGCGTTATCCGCTTGGCTCAAACATGGACACTGGCTACGTAGTTCATGTCCATGTTATCAATGTCCACAGAGGGCATATCGCGATCGAGAATCACGTAAAACTGCGACAGCTTTCAGTAGTTTCAGTTCTCTCAGGCTTCTCTCTGGTCTTACATCTGTTGTGTATGTGTACTTGTATTTCTAACCTCTTACTATTGTCTTGTTCATTATTATACGAGTAGATAATCAGTATAATCTAGACGAGATGACTGAAGAAGCTACTGAAATTGATTGTATACTACGACCGATAAATTGTGAAATTAATTTACTGTCACGATCAGATGGCTCCGTGATGTTTATGCAAGGTGAGAAGTGAACGTTTTAAACAATATTTTATTACTAAAGAAAGAATTTAATTAACAAGAAAATTATCGCCAGCAATTGATTAACAACGGGAAGAAAAATTATTTCACGACTTTAAACTGGCTAAGTGGTTTAATTTAATAAATCATTCTTTTGACCGTCCGGATTGTGGTCCTTTTCAAGGAGATATCTACAATTTTTGAGATCCCACAACAGAGTGACAGGATATTACACGAACGGCTTATAGATATTAAGTTTCTTCAAAATTGTAGATATCTCCTTGAAAAAGACCACAATCCGGATGGTCGAAACGCTGGGATGATTTATTAAATTGAATTACTTAGTTTAAAGTCGTCAAATAATTTTTCTTTCCGTTGATAATTTCACTATTTTTCTACTCGCAGGTGACACTACAACTATTGCGGGGATAAACGGACCCTTGGAAGCACGAAGCCAAAAAATGGCATATGATAAGGTTTCTATTGAAGTTACATACACTCCTCTCAAAGGACCAGCGAGTGAGTTTATCAAAAATAAATTTACTAGCTGTCAGCTTTGCTTTGGCTCTGTATAACTGTCTGTCAATTGTTTCAGAGGTGGACGACAGATTAATTGAGACATATATAAAAGAGACTTGTGAATCCGCTATATTAGTTTCGTTACATCCTAACACCATGGTGTGCATTAATCTGCAAGAGATGCAAGACTCCGGCGGGGTGAGATTTCACTTTGTGTTGTATGTTAATCCTTTTGCGTAAATTTGAATAGCGTATAAATAAAATAAAATTTTAGCTACTAGCTTGTGCCATTAATGCGGCATGTTTGGCGCTAATTAACTCGGGACTTTCCATGAAATACACCGTCGCAGCAGTGAATTGTATGATGGAAAAAGAAACGGGAGAAATAATCATCAATCCAGATGGCTCGCAGTTAAAAGTATTTATAAATAGTATTAAATAATAGAGTATCTGTTATGTTTCAAAGATAATACTTCTGATAATTTCTTTACAGAATGCAAAAGCGGAATTTACGTATGCTTTTGACAGTATTAACAAAGATATTGTATGCTGTCATAGCATTGGCCGATTTTCTCAAAGCGAGTTCTTGGCTTCTATGGATAAGTGTAGGCAAGTCAGTAAATATGTATTCGAATATTATAGAGAAGTGATAAAAAAGTATGCAAATGTAATATAACATATTACAATATATTGTTTTCGAATAAATATTTTTTACTTCACAATCTTCTGAATTAATGGGAATTTTTACGTACAACTTGACCATACTGAGATATTAAAGATCATAGCTGGATTTACAGTTCGTTGTTAAGTTTAAGATCATATTTTGTAAGTACAATGGGTCGAGAGAAGACAGAAGACACGGTGGAGACTGGACTTTTATGCCCCGATGAAGTCGATTCGCCTTCCAGAACCGATCTAGCAACATTTCGCGAATCTATCGACGAATCTACTATTAGTCTACCTGGACCAAATGGCAGAATGTTACGAGAATGCTTTAACAAGTCCTGCAGGGAAGATAGAAGGGAAGAGGAGAAGCTCCGAGAAAAGACAGGATGCGAGAGACTTCAGAATATATCGAAATGGTTACATGCTTTTTGATGTGACAATTGTATACTTTTCGTTATTTTCTTAGTCTCATCTGGTTTCCTATGCAAAGCAACGTAAATAAATGGCAAAACGAGTTGAGATAGGCCTGTATAGTCGTCTCTCAATTCTAGTCTCAAGAGTGTATCGGGTGAGATACTCGAAAAGATAAAATTACTCGCTGAATACAGCAAGCAATGAAAACGATTTAAATACGATAAGTCATCCTAAATGTCGCATTTAAGAATCCTACAGAAAGGGGAGTCGTTTGTGCAATGTTTCAAGGTGGCAAGAAAGTTTATAACGAATTAGAGAAGCCGCACACGTACCGCCAGTAGATTGGCATAAGTTAAACGTTAGTCGATTGCAACCTTTCGGTTCTTTGAGTCGTCCATTCGACTTATCGTCCCCCCCTTAATTCGTAACGTTAAATTAACTTATTAGATGTATCTCTATCGCAATACGATATAGTAATATAGTTATAGCAGCGTACTTTACGAATTATTATTATGCGTTAATCGATATACGTTTATGTTTAATCCGCTGATTTTCAACAGCTGGTAGACCATCTAAAGTATTTGCAAACCTATACAGACGCGCACTTCCGGAGTATAAGATGCGATAAGTTTCGTCAAGTCGACGATTCGGTAATTTATTGTGCCGATTAATCAGCGTGATTATTTTATACTTTGGAATAACCGCAGTTTTTCCGTATCGCGTCATATCATTTTGTGTCTACCGTATTTATACAGAATCACCTGCTCTGGGAAAATAAAGGCATCAACTCATTTTGTGATCCACAATTAGTAATCGAATTATTTGGATTGTTCGTAAGTTTACTCTGGGAAAAATTTTGACCGTTTCTTTTTTAGTTAAGCAACTGAACATTTCGGTTAGTGCCTCTTAAGTGAAAATTATCTCTGCGTTACTGAATATCAACAGAACTAATTGAGAAAATTGATTAGTGTTACTTAAAAATCTTGGATATAGATGGAATAGCTAATTGCGATTTTTAGCCACGCGGGGTAAATTTCGTAAAATATTAGAGTTACGAACAATCCAAATAATCCGATCACTAATTGTGGGCCTCAAAGTCGGTTGCTAACTGTCTTTTTTCCCGTAGTACTTTCGACTTGAAATAGATTAAACTTCAAACGTCGCTGAATTTCGCAATGTAATTGTAAGAACGTAATTTATTGGATATTTGGTGCTGGAAACACACGATTTCAAAGTGTGAGCTTCCGCTTTTCTTTCCGACATAAAATCAATGTCATTTACGTGATAGAGATCCTGTCGTCCGTTTGTCCATCCTTTGCTAACGCATACATTCTACAAATTTACGATGATACTAACGAATCTTCTAATTGCCATTTCGTTTTTCAAGACAAAATCCGTTCCGTCGAAAGAATGAATAAACAGACGAGTTTTGTGCGTGCAGAATTAATCTGCTTTTAAATTACTCTTAAAGCAATGGATTTTTAGAACATTATTTTTATGTATAACGTTCTTTTGTAGATTCATTGTTTTAAGATGATAGCTAATTAATACAAGCAAAGCAAGAACTCACCGGTCGATGTGCAGCAGCGGAGTGCATTAATCAATCTGTAAAATAAAAGAGTAATTCATTAAAAACTGTCATGGAATATTAACATCGGTATTTCGAAAGGTAATTTTTGCGCGCGTCAAATATTTCATTCTCGCGTCTCGCAAAAGATATTTTGTAGAAAGAGTACGTAGTTTTTTTAAAAATATTTAAATTCGATGCAGATGAGAATATAATTTCCATCTAAACCCTAACGTTTGTAAAATACGATATTCCAAGCACATCGCGATACGAGAAAAAGTATCTAACGTTTCACGTGCACGGACGAAGATGCAATCGTTGTGGGAATTAAACGGACTTTGCAAGTGACAAGCAACAACGAAAAAACAAAAGATTACTCACCCAAGGGTTGCTCCGCCGGCGCCTGATGCCCTCCCGGGCCTCCTCCTCCTCTCAGAATCCGTCGTTGCATGTCGCACACACACACACGCACAATACACTCGCGAAACGTAACGACACAGTGATCCAGCGCGACGAACCTAACGATGCGACGATCGCGGCTTTGCACGGCACTCCCGAGTTCAATTTACACGCGAACTTTGTGACTTTCGACGAGAAAATGACGCGCAATGGCAACGGTAGCACAAGAGAGCGGCGACGCGACGCGCTTGACGATGCCCGCGTCGTCCCGTTGTCCGTTGCACGTATTTCAAATGATTGAGTTAATAATGACGCGCGGTCATCTTCACACACGCACAATGCACTCGCGAAATACGATAACGACACGGTGATCCAGCGCGACGAACCTAACGACGCGACGATCGCGACTTTGCGCGGCTCTCCCGACTTTGCGCGGCACTCCCGATTTCCATTTACACGTCAACTTTGTAGCTTTCTCGTAACTTTGTAACTTTCGACGAGCGAGCGGCGACGCGACGCTCTTGACGACGCTCGCGTCGTCCCGTCGTCCGTCCGGTGCACGAAGCGAAGTGACGGAGTTAACAATGACGCGCGGGCAACTTCACGCGGGACGCCGAACCGACGCTCTGCGCCCGCCGCCGATCTGCGGCACATGCACGCGTATTAAGACGAATTGTTGCCTCGCGCTGTAACACAGTCGTCAAATGTGCCATCAAGATCGAATGAGAGTATCCGCGGGACGCGTTATACCAGAAATACACGCGAAAACAGCGTCGCGTCGTCCCGATTGCCGGCGCGATGGACCATCGGTCGAGCGAGCGGAATAACTGAAGCGGCGCGACGAATATGTACGTCCAGGCGCGTCGGCCGTCGTGTCTGTCGCGGACAATTTATGGATATCAACGTGCGCGGTTAATCGCGACTCTGCTTACCGCTCGAAACACCGCGTCGTTGCGATCCAGCTCGGTTCGTTCCGCGACGTGCGACGAGAAGCAAATGTATGCCGTTGCGACACGTCGTGCGTCAAGTTGGTAACTGAAAGCGCGAGTCAAGTTGGCAACTAACGTCCATTCTTAGTTTGCTACCAACGCGGATTACATTTTACACTGACACCGTACGACAAACGCAACTGTGTTAACGGTTAAACGAGACACACACTCGACCGTCCGAGATTAATCACAATTCACTAACGCGTACGTTTATTAATAAACCACTGACAAAAGCCAGAAACAGTCTACGAATTGCACTCGAAGCGACGAGAGATTCAACGCGGCGATACGAAATAGGTAGGCCCGAGCGTCAATTAAAGAAGCAAGCAATAATTATCGTCAATGAGGAAGTACTTTTGATAGCGCTCTGATTTTAGGGCGTAAAGATGTCACGTCTGCATCGCGCGAGATACCTGTCTCACTGGTGAACGAGAACTCCGGGATCACACGGTGATGTCGATCGCCGATTATTCGCAGAGAGCGAACGCGTAGCAAGAAAAAGATTAAGACTGTACGCGGAACGGCGCGGGGCGACCACCCGGCACGACTGTCGCCGCGTAATTGACCTGCGTACGGTGTGACCTTATTGTTTGGCCGAGCTCGGTACACCGAATTCCAAGAAATGACGTAGCGCCGCAAAAACACCTCGGTGAAAAACAGTTTATCACTCGGCGCGTCACAGCTGAACGTCCCGTGTGTTTTTGCATCGCTCCTCGCGATCCTGCGTAGGGTGTGACCTTATTGTTTGACTGAGCTCCGTAATGCCGAGCGCCGAATTCCAAGAAATGACGTAGCGCCGCAAAAACACCTCGGTCGAGAACAGTCTATCATTCGGCGCGTCAGAGCCGAACGAGACGGACGTGTCCCGTGAGTTTTTCCGTCGCTCCTCGCTACGCGATCGTTTCATGCGAAAGTAGAGTAACGTTTGTCAATCGCGCATAAGCGAGTGTCGCGATCCGTAATATCGTCGTCGATTACCGCTGTCGGGACAACGCGAGGCTGTGTTCTCGAGTGTTTGCGGTATATCGCGTCCCGCGGATACTCACATTGGATCTTGATGGCACCTTTAGCGACCGTGTTACAGCGTGGGACAATAATTCGTCTCAAAACGCGTGCATGTGCCACTTATCGGCGGCGGGCGCAGAGCGTCGGTTCGGCGTGGCGCGTGAAGTTGCCCGCGCGTCATTATTAACTCCATACTTCACTTCACTTCGTGCACCGGACGACGGGACGACGCGAGCATCGTCAAGAGCGTCGCGTTGCCGCTCGCTCGTGTTACCGTTGCCACTGCTCGTCATTTTCTCGTCGAAAGTTACAAAGTTACGAGAAAGCTACAAAGTTGACGTGTAAACGGAAATCGGGAGTGCCGTGCAAAGTCGGGAGTGTCGTGCAAAGTCGGTAGTGCCGTGCAAAGTCGCGATCGTCGCGTCGTTAGGTTCGTCGCGCTGGATCACTGTGTCGTTATGTTTCGCGAGTGTATTGTGCGTGTGTGAAGATGACCGCGCGTCATTATTAACTCCACTTGAAATACGTGCAACGGACAACGGGACGACGCGAGCATCGTCAAGCGCGTCGCGTCGCCGCTCTCTTGTGCTACCGTTGCCATTGCGCGTCATTTTCTCGTCGAAAGTCACAAAGCTCGCGTGTAAATTGAACTCGGGAGTGCCGTGCAAAGCCGCGATCGTCGCATCGTTAGGTTCGTCGCGCTGGATCACTGTATCGTTACGTTTCGCGAGTGTATTGTGCGT